TCGATTCGCCGATCCGGATCGGTTTTTGAAAAGCCCGATCCGAGTCACCGATCCGGTTTTTAAACCATTGCTTTCTTCCGTTCAGCCACTTAATTTAGGTCAAGTGAGCCACTTATCATTTGGTTTTTATCTCTCAAATTATTTTATTTTTAGTTTTTATTCTACAAATTGTATGAATAAGAAATTTGGTATTTACCATCATCTCAAAGGGACGTACTTTAAAAAAAATATTAAAAAGAATTTTTTGATAAATTATAAGACCCAAAATACCATTTAAATCTTTTAGGGGTAGTTTGGTTATTTTATTTTTTGGAGAGTATTTGTTTTATATTTTTTACAGGTGCAAGCTTACGAGAGAAGTGGACATCCAAATTTTGGTTTCAAAATATTTTGTAGAAAAAAAAAAAAAAAAATAAGTGTTGAGACATAACATTGTGATTGAGGGCAATATCAGCCGTCTAGCCATGATAAACGGTTGGATATGGGAAGTATATAAGTTTTATGTACTAGGAGAGGCATAAAAAGCTTGGCCATAAATGAATAGTGAGAGAGTTAAATAGATAATCATAGAAAAATTTCATATAAAACTCTAATTCCTTTTATTATTTCGCAGGGGTAAAAGAAAATCTTAAAGATTTTGTCATATCCCTTCATTTTTTATCTCCCTCTTTTATTGACTTTTAATCATAAAAAATATAAAAAAATATCTCTTTATTTTTACTTCTATATCTCGTTAGACTTAAAGATTAAAAATATTACTTAAAAGCAAAAAGTTTCATCTTTTCTATCTTACAGCCGCCTGGATCCTTTTGATCATAAATTTTTTATTCAAACAAAATCTAAAATAACACCATCAACCCTTGTATGGGTTGATTAAGTGTAAGTTTTGTTTTGTTATATTTAACATTTTTATTTTTTTTCTCTCTTTCCACCAGCACTTTCTTTACCCAAACTCCCTCTCTCTCTCTACTGTCTCTCTGTCCAAATTCCTCGCTGTCTCTGCCCAACTCCCTCTCTCTCTTTCTTTCTCTGCCGGATTCCATCTCTCCCTTTCTTACAAGCTTTTCTCTCACTAAATTTTCATTCTATTTCACTAAATCTTCGTTCTCGTATCATTTGAATTGCATTCGTCTCCTTTTTTACCTCAACCATAATTCGACTTCCATTTCCATTAAAAACGAGAAAGGCAAGATCCCTTTTATGGAGCAGCAAAAGAAGAACGCAGAATCTCGTAATTTTTAACTAATTTGTGGGTTTCGAGAATTTTTGCAAACGAACAGCAAGTTGTTCTAAGGATGAGAGCAAAGTCGTTAACATGAAACACGGAGAGAGAAAATGGCTTATTATGAGTGTGAATAAAAAACCAAACAGGGACGAGTCAATTGCAGGAAGATATTTACGATTGAAAAAGCCTGCCAAGTAGAGAGAGAGCACTCCAAACGAACAATGAGGAACGAAGCCAGATCACTTTATTCCTTATTTTGGAAGCTAACAATGTGACAGTGCAGAGAGAAGCAAAGTGAAAGTTTAGAGAGAGAGAGAGAAAGTGTAGAGAGAGGTTAAGAATGTGACCATGTAGAGAGAGAAAGTGCAGAGAGCTTTACTCTGCAATAACAATGTGAATTTGCAGAGAGAGAAAGTGTAGAGAGAGGCTAAGAACGTTACAGAATAGAGAGATAAAGTTGACAATGATTATTGTGTTTGGTTAAGAATGTGACAGTACAGAGAAAGTGATTATTGTGTTTGGGCACACTGGAGTGGGCATCGGGATCGGATTGCAGGACTTAAAATTAAAATCAAGGTGCGTGTATCCAAAATTAGGGTTGTAAGGTCCAATTACTTCTGAATCTCGTCTTTATAATTCAGATGATACAATAACGAATATTTAGTGAGATAGAATGAAAATTTAGTGAGAGAATGGAAGTTTGGGTGACAAAAAAGCCTGTAAGAGAGGGAGAGATGAGTCCAGGGAGAAAGAGAAAGAAAGAAAGAGAGAGAGGGAGTTGGGCAGAGAGAGATGGAGAGGAGTTTGGACAGAGAGTTGGTAGAGAGAGGGAGTTTGGGTAGAGAGAGTGCAGGCAGAGAGAGAAACAAAAATTACTGTTAAAAAGAAGAAAACAAAAAATAATGTTAATCAATACATACAAGTGTTGAGGGTATCATTTTAGATTTTGTTTGAGTTAAAAATTTATGGTCAAAAGAGTCCAAGGGGCTGTAAGATAAAAAAAGATGGATATAGTTTGCTTCCAAGTAATATTTTCGATCGTTGGGTCTTAAGAGATAGAGAAGTAAAAAATAGGGGATAAAGAGATA